AGGTTAGGAACATGGAGAATAGAGTTTAGGATCATGTCCCTTGAGAGTCTGCTTAATCTTATTCCCTTAACTTGGGAGAAAGACCCATCAGCTATATGAACTGTAGAATTATTAGTGCACTGATTGTATTCATTAAGAAGAGTAGCATCTCCTGTCATATGGTTAGATGCTCCGGAGTCGATGATCCAAGGGCTCGAGTGTTTCTTATTAACAGTAAAGGCTATTGAAAATTTATCTTTTTGTGCTAACAGTCCAAATTTAGGACCAGAGGCTGACTCACTTGGTTGAGACAGTGAATTCTGACTGAAGAGTTTTTGTAAGATCTCAAGTTGTTCCTTGCTGAAAGGACTTGTTTCAGTTGGCAGAATGGTGTTCTTGTCTCGGTTGTCATCTGAAGTAACATTGTTGGCACGTCTGTCTTTATCATTTATTGATTTTGATGGTTTCCAATCAGCAGGTTTGCCATGAATCTTCCAGCAATTTTCCTTGATATGTCCTGGTTTGTTGCAGTGATCACACCAGGGTCTTCCTTTCCTCTGTCGATTATCATGGTTGCTGTTTGAATGACCTCGAGCAGCAAGGGCAGATCCTTCCATTACGTGAGCTGAGTTGTGAGATCCCATCATTACTTTCTTTCTACTTTCTTCACGTCTAACCTCAGAGAATGCTTCTCTGAGATTTGGAAGAGGTTTGGTTCCCATTATTCTTCCTCTGACTTCATCAAGGTTCTTGTTGAGCCCAAGAAGAAATTTGAAAGTTCTTTTTTGCTCAACAATTCTTCTATATAGGACTGTGTCTTCAGGGCAATTCCAGCTGTGAATTTCAAACATATCTAGGTGCTGCCAATGACGGCAAAGAATGTTGAAGTATTGAGTAATAGAAAGTTCTCCTTGGCGTAGATCATGTAACACTACCTCAATCTCAAATAGTTCTGATGTATTTTCAGAACTTGAGTAGGTTTCTCTTACTGCTTCCCAGATTTCCTTTGCTGTTCCATATAGGAGAAAATTTTCTCCAATTTCATTGGTCATTGAATTGATCAGCCATGACATTACCATATGATTTTCAGTTTTTCATGTTCGGAACATAGGATCATTCTTTTCTGGTATGATGATATCCCCTGTGAGGTAGTCATCTCTGCCCTTTCCACAAATAAACATCATGACTGATGATGACCATTGAAGATAATTATATCCATTGAGTTTATGTCCTGTGATTTGGTGTGATGTACCTTCAGTGCCTCCTGAAAGGCTACCATGAGAGACTGTTCCTGGCTGTGAGGTCACCTCAGAGAGAGAGCTTTGTCCTGCTGCTGCCGTGCTTTATAGAAGCAGATTAGGGTTCAAGAGTAGGCTCTGATACGATGAAGAATTTTGAGAGAAGTCTTTTACTTTTCTTAACATTACCAACAATATGTTTGTACAATAAATAGGGAAGAGAAGCTAACCTACTGACCCTCAAAACAAGAAATAAATACTATATAGGAAAGTATCCTACACTAAACTAGAAAGCAATAATCTAGAGAATCTAGATAGTTAATACCAGATTTCTCTTTCCTAAACCATATATACCAATATTTCTCTAAGATCCTAACTAATTTTGAGATTGATTTCCACAATATTTAAATCTTTATTCAATTTTTTTATTATTCTTAAATGATATTATAGTTTCATATGAGAATGTAAACAATGTTTTTTAATTATTATGCACCTAAGATTCAAAAATAAGAAATAAAAAACTGCTTACAAATATTCAACGAAAATAAAACTTTATTTATTTAAATTTTTGATGGATTTTTTTACATATTTTTGTCATTTTTATTAATTTTTTCTTTAACCATATATAAAATATTAAGATAGCAATATAGTATTTTCTTAAACTTGCTTTTGAAATCATGATAAATTTTTATTTTAAAAATGTTTAAAGTTATTTTTTGTTGAGATAATAAATAGATGCATTAATAAGAAAATAAAGTTTAAATTAAAGAAATACATCTATTTTTAATAATTGTATTCATTGTTTTTACATGTAAATATTTATTTTTATAACCATTTAATTAAATATAAAACAGATTCCAAAGAGCTAGGTTATTAAAACTAATTAATGTGATAACTCCGGTCATGAATTAGATGGTTTAACTTGGTTTGACACTAATCAATCCAAAATATCATCATTTCAATGTTTTTTTAATAAAAAACAACAAAACAAAGTTGTTTGTAATTTTTTAAATAGTAAAATCAAGTTCTAGCTTGATCGATTGAGTTGATAATAAGTTGGTTTATCCATATTAGGTCAGCTCCCACTTAATTTGCTTTGAAACTCATCCTAACTTAAAGACCACTTGATGGTCATCATGTTAACTTATTAGGCTCAAATGAGTTTAATAAAATTACTAAAATCTTCTCCACGATAGATCAAAGGTAACCGACTAGTTTTAACTACACGATTATTTATATTGATTTTTTTAATTGCTTTATGATGTATGTTAATTGTGATTATATTATTATCTTGTGCTATATTATATGTTAAAATAATTTTTTTAATTAAAAAAATCTTAAGCATTACTAACATTTTTATAGAAAAAAATATTAAATAACGAGAGGATTGACTTGATGTGACTTTAATAACTTAACAAGTTTAAAGACAACCCATTTGATTTGACCATATTAGGTCAGCTCCTACTTGATTTGCTTTGAAACTCAACATCGTTTAAAGACCAATTGATGGGTCATCATTGTGACCTATTGGGTTCTAACGAGTTTAATAAAATTACTAAAAACTTATCCACGACAACTCAAAGGTAACTGGCTAACTACACAATCATTTATATTGATTTTTTTAATTGTTTTATGATATATGCAAGTTATAATTAGATCATTGTCTCAATAAGATTAATTTTTTAATAAAAAACCTCAAGCATTGCTAATATTTTTATAGAAAAAATATTAAATAGTGAGGGGGTTGATTTGAATAACTTGATGAGTTTAAAGACAACCAAAATGATTAGTAAAAAAATGGTTTGAGTCACAAAAATTCAAAACATATTTTTTTAAAAAATAATTAAAATGACAATATATTAGACTGATCTAATTCAAATTGAATTAACTTATCAAATTCATGAAATAGGTTATGAGATCATTATAACCTCTATATAGAGTAAATCAAAATAAATTATGAAGTCTAATTCTTAATCAACCCAATATTGAAGAATATAATTTTTTTTCTCAAAAAAATACTCAAATCAACCCTAATTAACCTGTCAAACACACGACCTAGATCATGAAATTAAGATAACCATATAAAAACTAAATCAAAACAAATTATGAAGTCTAATTTCCAATTAAAATACAGTGAAATTGAAAAAAAATTAAAAAAAAATTGAGTAAACCTGAGTTAATCTATCAAACTCGTGACAAAAGTCATAAAATCAGGTAATCTCAAATAAAGTGAACCAAAAAAACAACATAAGCAAATAAGGGTTTACTTGCAAATCTCGTAATTTAAATCATGAGATTTAAATAACCCTATACAAAACCAAAATAAATAAATTATAAAATCTTTTTTTTCACTTGGATATCCTCATGCTTTTTTAAATGATGAAATTAGTCTCATTATACCTCTTAATAAATGCGTTTTCTAGGGATCTAATTTGTGTTCTAACCCTTATAAGGGTATAATAGTGCTTTAATTGCTAGACCAATAATTTATTAGTAACAAATTACAAAACCTAATTCCAATAAACACATTTTTGAAAGATACAAAGAAAAAAATTCAATAAAAACAGGACACAATAAAATAACTTAATTCAACATGATGTTGAACAATAAAATTAAAAAATAAATATAAATAAAAAAAATAAAAAAACTTGATTTAAGTAGATTAATTTATTAAATTTGCGACATAAATTATAAAATTATGATAACTATATAAAAAATAAATTAAAATAAATTATAAAATTTAAATTTTGATAAAATAAAATAGATAAAATTAGGAAAGAAACATAATTAAAAAAACCATTACAATGGATGAAAATTCTGACAAAATAAAATAGATAAAATTAGAAAAGAAACATAATTAAAAAAACCATTACAATGGACGATGCCTTGGGAGGTGATAAATGATATACGGTAAAATCACTTTTCTGTTATTTTTTTAATGTTAATGTTAATTTTTCAAGGTAATATTTTTAATATTTAATTAAGAAAAATGTTTTATAAAAATTTAGGTATGTTTAGTAACGTTAATAGTTTTTCTTTCTTTCTTTAGTTTGTTTTTCAATAATTTTTTTTTAAAACACGTTCATTCCTTAAAAATAAAAAATATATATATGAAGATTACAACTATTTTTCTTTATAAAAAATCAAAATTATAATAATCATCTTAATATTTTATATTTATAACAATTAAAATGTAGACTATGAATTTTATTTAATTTAAATTAAAAATTATCATGAAAACTGTTAACTAATATGTTTTCTATTAAATTTGTAATACAAAATTAATTTATGACACTAACTAAATATAAAAATATAAAAATAATTTTAATTTTTATATTATTAAAAATGCTTATATATAAAGAAAAAACTCGTGTTGTTCATTAATTTTTAATTTTTACATGTAACAATGCATTTAAACATAAAGTTATAGTTTTTATTTTTCTAGCTGCCCAGTTTTTTTTTTTTTTTTAAATTAAGGTGTTTTAATCTTTGAACAATCTTTTATTTTGGATAAAATGAAGATAGTGTTCGGTTGAAATATTATTTGATGAAAATTTATTTATTTATTTTATTTTAATATTAAAAATAAAAAAATATTATTTTAAAATAAAAAAATTTTAAAAAATAAATTGTTAGCAAGCCACATGTTAATTTTAATTATATTTGAGAGTATAGTAGTAATTATTTTTAATTTTTTTTTGTATTTTAAAATATATAAAATAATATTTTTTATTTTTTAAAATTAAAAAAATATTAATTTAAAATAAAAAATATATATTTTTAAAACAAACAGGTCTTCATTTGCTGTCAGTGGTCCTCCGACCCCACTCCACCACCATCCGCAGGCTCAGACTGAACCTACTGAACTAGCACGCTCGCTCATCTAACAGCCAAAAACCAAAATACCATGCAAACTCCAACGCTACCGTCTCTCCTCCTCCTCCTTCTCTGTCTATCTTCAATTACAGCTGCTTTGAGTGACCATGGGGGATTCTGCTCTGCTCCTCCTTCACCTTTTGAAACCGAAACGGCCTCCTCCAAACCACTCTATTGGAGAGTTTCTAATCCAACACTCTCTCCTTCTCACCTTCAAGGTCACTACATTTTTTTTTAATTCTAAATAGAAGATGTATGATAGTTGTTATCAATTTGATGAACTTTTGTTATCAATTTTTTTGTTTGAATTATATCATTTTACAAAAGAAAGCACGAATTGAGCCATACATTTTTATTTTATTCTAATCAGAAAGCAGTCAATTGAAGATGAAATACAAGCTTAATTTGTTTCTTCTTTTTACAGACTTGCCAGGTTTCACACGCAGTGTTTATGAAAGAGACCACGCATTAATAACACCAGAAAGTCATGTATTCAGTCCTTTACCAGAATGGTACTGCTCCTTTTCTTTTCTTTGAATTTCCATTTATAAAGAAATCCGGTGCTATAGCCATTCAAATTTATGTATGACAGGACAAATACATTGGGGGCATATCTAATTACGCCAGCTATGGGTTCCCACTTTGTGATGTACCTCACAAAATGCAAGGTTTTCTCTTCTCAATTATTTCATGTTTCTTTTTGTTATTGATCACTTACTATATTTTATTTTTTGCCCAGGATGTTTAATTTCTTGTTTTGGCTTGAAGCAGGCTAAGAGTTTAGCGAGATTATTGTTTTCCGAAGTTGATTTTTTTTTTTGAAAAAAAAACTCTCAAGTCACGTATTAGCACTTACCATGCATCGTTTCGGGCATAGGTTACTTGTTCTTAGCATGTCTTCCCCTTCCCTCACCTGCGAATTAGAATAATCCCTGAGATAGCCCCTATATTCTGAACCAGAGGACTTTTATCAATGATATGCGGTGTGGTTGACTCCGAAAGTAATTATTATCAACCAATCAACTGAATGCATGCTGTGAGAAATTTGAATTGGTAGTCTTCTCTTTATGTATACACATGTTCTGTAACTTATGAGGATGGTGGGTGAGGTTCAGATGTCTGGTATAGGAAACCTCAAGTTCTTCCTGATGGCACGCCTTGTAATCATGCAGATGATACTTGTCAAAAACATACGAAGTTCTATGCTTGTGGACACATTTCTTGAATGTTGTTACCTGACCTGGGTATTGAGTTCTGCATAGTTTTCTTCACTGTAATTTTTGCAGTCTTAATGATCAGCAGAACTCTGTTATCATCAAACATAATAATAAAAAATAAACAAAGATCAGCTGAGCTCTAATCCTGTAGGATTTGTGTAATTGAGTTTCTGTGATTAGGCTGAATAATCTTGTTTCTCTTGAAAGTGCACCATACATGGATACAGTTGAGGCACTTCTTATTCTTACTGAAAACGTAGAATCTCTTTAGTGTGGGATATAACCCATTTCCTTCCTTTTTATAGTACATATTAATCTTTCATCCCCTGTGATTTTCTTGTGAAAAATGTGATGCAGCTTGTTATGCATGTCTGCTAATTTGGTTTGCTTGCTGATGTAAACTCTACCATGTGCAGAAAATTCAAGGTCTGGGCTCCCTCCAAATGATGTGGAGAGGTAAGGAATAATTTTTTTTTTTTATGTGTTTCCATTATCAGTGGGCCTGATCCAAGTATGATCCTGGCTAACCCACGGCTAACCCATGCTTCCTAAATTATTAGGTTCATGTTCGTGGTTCAGGGTTCTGCAACTCTGAGTAATGCATCTGGTGCCCACCACCAAATGACAGCAAGTGTGGTCTACACATTTAGGGCACATATTAAGAGTGTGTTTAGGATTTTTGGTAGAGTTGACGAAAGCAAGTTTGAAATTGAAAGGCAGATATGATGACTGATTACCTTTTTTGAAACCATGGTTTTGAAATTCATGACACTTAGAACTAATTGTTTTGGGAACTCCACCCCACACAGACATATTCATATATCTATTACCTTTAAAACCTCAACCATGTGGTTGATTTTTGGTAGTATTGACAGAAGGCAAGTTGGAAATAAAAAGGAACCAAAAGGCAGTCTTTAGAGATTTGGTTTCCTTTTGAATTATGCTTTTGTAACCCAAGACACTTGATACCATGTTTTTGAAAGCTCAACAACTCGCACATGTAGATATATATATCTTTCAGCTTTAGAGAAAGGGAATCTTTCTAATTTGTTAATGCTGGCTTCAAAAATTTTGATGTCATACTCTTCGCTTTATAGCTGGATTCATACACTTATCTACCACCAAATTTTGAACATTCTCTGGGGTGTGGTGCATCTGCTACTCTTGCTGTCTTTGAACGCAGGTTTGTTTCTCCATGAAGTATGATTAACTGAATGTCTAGCTGTCTCACCTATGCTATTGCTTTATTCAACTTTTTATGTTCTGTATATGGAGGTATTATAGTTGATTATCTAAGACCAGGAAAATTGGTGCAGGGATTATTATTTAGATATCTGTTTGATCAGGCTCATCGAAGTGATGTCTTTCATTAAGTTTACTATTTGCTTGCTAGTGTAGTATAGCTACTACATTATCCTTAATAATTACGATCACCAAGAGGGTTTCTTATCCTGTCAGGTATGATTCTCTAGAAAATCATTTCACTGAGCAAATTGTTGGTTCAACAGACCAGCAGCCACTTCTTGAAACTCCAGGTGAGGTACCTTTCAATTATTGTTTTCTTACTTTTGCAGAGTGCTTTGTTTTTCTGATTTACAAATGCTTGTTTTTCTTTGTAAAGAATAATTATGCTTAGGAATTATACATTACCATTCCTGAGCATATTATGATGTTATTATTTGTTAGTCATGTGCACATGCAACAAAATTGCTCATTTTACTAATTAACAGGTTTTTGAACTTAGAAAGCTTCTACCTCCATCATTGCCATATGACTTCAATATCCATGTAAGCCCTTTTGCTTTCCAGTTTTCGACCTTATACTTTTGTAAGTTAATATTTTGGAAAAAAAGCAAAGAACCTATCTTTCTGAGCTGCATTTTTCATAGACTAGTTTAGATTGCTCTCATAGATAGGGTTTGGAACTGGACAAGACAGTATGAGCACTTATATGATAAGAAATTTTGGAAATTATAAAAACAGATATCTGCACACAGCAACTTTGATTTATGAACCTTTTTGGTTGAGTAGCAGTTTTGACCAGCACCTCTACCTGTCATTTGCATGCTTCCCAGCAATATTCTTGTCAAAAGATTTGGATGCAAAAAGTCCTTGCAGAATTAGTTTAATTCATTAAACATGGCACAAGTTGCCAGTCGCTTGGTTAAAGGGCAAGCGAGCTAGGATCTTCAATATTTTAATGCTTCAAATATTGTACTGTACAATATCTTGACATGAAATTTAGGATTATGCTGCAGTACTGGAATGTAGTTCTGAAATTGTTAGAAACTCCTAATTTTATGGTATCAATTTTGAAGTTTTGAATTCCATGCATATAAGCATTTGCCAGGGAGTGCAGCTTCCTTTTCTTACATTATGTAGGAAACCTCTGTGGTAGTGTTAATGAAATATAGGATCATAAACATTAATTTGACAAAGTTCTGAATTGTTGTGTTCTTTTTAACAAGCTAGATTCTTGGTTGGCATGATTTTCTGCCTGCAGATAATGGATTTCCAACCTGGAGAATTCCTTAATGTGAAGGTATGCTTCCCTTGTTTGTTGATTGAAACTCCGTACTTTGTTTCAAGATCTTAGGTTTTAAGTTTGTTTGTTATATTTTTTCACCACTGTACTGGTTTAATTCTCTGGAGGGCCTAAAAATCCAAAGAACATGAATTCCAGTTTTTACCAAATCCAAGGTCCAGCCAAATGCTGAAGTACAGAAGGAACTTATTTAAGTGAAAGAATTTAGAATATACTGTCTGTTCATCTTCATGATGCAATAATCTTCAAAGTATCGTGTTTTGCTAACCACATAGGCCCAACTGTCAGCTTCTTGAGGCTGCTATCCCTTGAATTTGTGATGTGAAATTGCGAGTTTTGTTCCCTCTTTTTTTTTTTTTTCACTTGCATGTGTGCTATATAGGAGGTGCATTACAATCCGCATGGTTTGCTGCTATTAGAGGGACAAGGTATTTATCGATTGGGTAATAGCTGGTAAGAATTTAAATCAAGAGTTGTGATTCTCAAATAGTTATTGCTATTCTCAAATAATATTTGGTGTTAATATTATTTAAAAGCTAAATGGTAAAACCTCTTCTGAACTTAAAAAGTCATTTGAGAATTAGTCTTTGTACTTTGATGATGTATTTGAAATTTTTTTTGCTACTTTTTTCAAGGTTCTTTTCATATGTTACATATAAAACTTAATGAAATGACTTAAGTATTCTCATCTCCAATAACCTTTCACCTAACTAATCAATTTTAATTTTTTTTCTATGAAATGAATTTTAAATTTGAGAAATAAAATTTATTATCATAATTTTAATTCTCCATCTTGAAATTTTGGTTTTAAATTAATTTTTTGGAAAAAAAATGAAGAGATTTCAAGGCTAGTGGGGGGTTTTTTTTTTTAGACAAAGAAGAAGGGTATTTATGCTGCTAGTTTTTTTTTTGAAAAAATTAAAATCAAAATTTTTGGATGGAGAATTAAAATAATGAACAAAACTCCCCTTTTTTCTTTGCTCTTCTGGAACCGGTACAAAAATTGGTGCTTTTTTTACGTTGTTAAATTTATTTATTTTATTTTCAAAATTTAAAATTAATTCTATCAAAAAATTAAAAATAATCAATTAAGTTGAAGATTACCGATGTTCAGAGTGTTTAAGTAATTTTATTAGTTTTATATGCATAACATGGAGGGAATTGTGGAAAAAATAACAAAAAGGCTTGATTTCAAAATACCAAAGTATGAGGAGGTCAAAACTGAAATTAAGAATACATGGACTAATTTTTAAATAACTTTAAATTCATGGAGGTTTGAATAGTTTAGCCATATTTAAAGGCTTATTTGGAAGATTCTGAATTTTATAAAGATCTGAAAGTACTTCAAAAGTCTTGTTTTCATTGCTACAAAGCTTTTTGATAGAAGCATATTTATAAACTGCTTCAAATGAACCAGTCAAAAGGGTCTATCAAATAAATAAATAAATAAATCTGAGATTCATGTTCAATAAATGATAGTGTTTTCAGTTGGGAAGTTCCTTTGCTGGTCAGCATGTGTCTGTTCATGCAATTTTAACAACACACTTGAAGCTTTAAGTGGGTGCCTCTGGAACTTCTTTTGTTGAAACATTTCTTTTTAACTTTTAATCACAAAGGAGAAGCTCAAACCTAAAACCACTTGAGGGGAAGGGACATAAGTGCCAGTTGAGTTACGTTCTCATTGGCTTGTTGAAACATTTCTTTAACCCGTTTCTTTATACTTGCATATTCTGTTTGCTCGTTCGTGCTTCTCTGTTCTCTGCAACTTCTCTGTCCTTGTAGCTTAAATTTTTTTTTATTACAGGTATCCAGTTCAATCTGGTGATGCCATTTGGATGGCCCGTTTTGTGCCCCAATGGTGAGGAATATATAACCTCCTTTCTTCCTGTAAAGATTGAATGTTTATTCCTCCAGTGCACTAAAATCTGGTAGACAGATGTCCTTTGCTACCTTCTAAGGTACACTGCACCTGTACAAAGATGTGAATAGGAACCATTGTAACCAGACGCCGCAAAAGTTGTCCCCTGGCTTCATTGAGCTGATCCTAGCGGGGATAGATCAATTTCTGAAGCAAAGATCAAGCTTCTAGGCTGCAAACATTATTTAGCTGAATGGTAGTCATCCTTGTGTTGCTTAAGGATTCGTGATGGAGGGAATCGATCTTGCAGTGCTTATTTGGTAAAAAAAGCCTGTTCTGTTCAGAAAATAATTTTTTTCGGTGTAAATTCCTCTGTCCTTTATAAGCCCATATAATTATTGGATAGATTGATGATAAACAATTGAAGATGATATTGGAACTCAGATTCCTCAGTTTGAAAAGTTAGAAAAAGAAAAAGAAAAAAGAAACCAGTCCAAACACATTATATAACTTTACCAGCTCTTTTTAAAATTAAGGTTTGTTTAGGAGTGTGATCTTGGTTATAATTATTTTTTATGTTGAAATATATTAAAATAATATTTTTTATTTTTTAAAAATTATTTTTTAAAATTAATATATAAAAATGATCTAAAACATATATAAAAAATAATTTTTTAATAATTTTTTTAAAAATATAATTTGTATCGTGTTTTTTATCAATGTGAAAATCCTACAGTGTAATATATATATATATATATATATATATATATCTCGGGTTGTGTGACTGTTGGTGCCATTGTTTTGTTAATTTTTAATTTTTTTATTTAAAAATATATTTTAATGTATTGATATAAAAATTATTTTAATATATTAAAAAAATAAACACTTTAACAAAAACAACAGTTGTTCCATTTCTAAACACCCATAAACGTATAGAAGCCACGTTAATTGAGATGAGAACACTAATTTTGTGGTCGACAATTCAATTATATACTCTAAATTTAACATAATTGCTCGGTTGTTCCTTATAGTGAAGCACCTTGAAAATAATTTTGGAATCATCAAATGTCCTGTTTAACCTGCCACCGGCCACCATCATTGCAGCTCAACAACGTAAGAAAGACTGGCTCGTAGACTGCCACCTGGCACTAGATAGATCTCCTAGGAATAAACCCAAACCGGGGCCCCCACCCCCACAAATGACAATGCCGTTGATGATTGGTGATTATCACTCTCATGGTGATGGGGCATCATTTACCACCTCCACCACCGCCACCACCGTCCCATTTCCTTCGCCACTAATTTCTCCTTTTTTCGCTTCTTAATCTAACCTTTCCCAAATGGGAATATTATGATAAACCACATCTACTTTTTGTAAGAAATCGGAATGTCATGAAATCCCAACGACTTGCTTTGTATTAGTGTCTGTCTAGTGTTAGTGTTACTGTGCTTTTAAAACATAATTGTTATTAACTATTTTTTATTTAAAAAAAATATTGTTTTAATATTTTTTTAATATTTTTTTTAAATAATGATTACCCTATTTCTAAATACCTCGTGGTATGGTATATAGAAGCCATGTTAAGTGAAATCAGAACACTAATTTTGTTACTTTCAAGTATTTCTTAATCAAAACAAGTTTTAATTCAAAATGAAAACAGTTTTTTTTTTAAATTGTAATTATTTAATATAAATAAAATATATTTACTAAATTATTTTTACTGTTACAATCACAGTTGATCTTTTTATATTTCAAAATCAGTATAATTTCACCAAGTAGTATTTAACTACAATAAAGGACAAACTATAATCGATAACTAAACATGGCTAATTAAAAGAAGCTAAAACTCCTTGGGAAGTGGCTATAGAGATACACACTCATAAACATTATTTATTAGTATACTGTAATAGCTATTTTGCCTCTTCATCTAGAAAAAATTATATTTAATTTTTAAGAACATTGATATCTTTTCATATAATTCACTTGTCATTTCTAAATTAACTAGGAATCAATAAGTTTTTTCTTATATTAATTGCATAATGAAAGGATAAAAATATCAGTGAAAACAAATAATTTAAACATAGAATGAAGGGGTATTTTTATACCTTTTCAATAGTTTCATAGTTATTATAATATTAGCTGAGAGATATTTTTATATTTGATTAAATATAAAAATAATAAACAATTAAAATACATAGTAAAATTATTAAAATATCCTTAAAATAAGATAAAACTAAACCTTAGGTGAGCTTTTTGATATTTGCATATTTTTTTTAATTACAAGGACAAATTTTTTATTTGAATAAATATAAAAGGCTGAGTTTTTTTTTTATTTTCTCTTTCTTTTCTCTTTCCTTCATAAAATATTATAACTTAGCTTTTTTTGTTGTTGGTATTTCTACTTCAATCCTTATTATTTTGATTTTTAATTCTTGGTCTTGTTCTTTTTATTTATTTTTAATTTTATCCTTCAATCCTACCAAATATTATATTCTTTAATTTGGTCTTTATTCTTTTGACTTTTATTTTTTCCTTAGCATTTTAGTTAAAGTTTTATTGGTTTTCAATTTCATCATTCAATTCAAATTGGTGGTATTATGTTTTTCAATTTAGTCCTCATTATTTTGATTTTCAATTTTTTTCATAGTACTTTTGTAAAAGTTATTATTCTTTTTAATTCCACCCTTTAATCAAAAAATTGGTTTTATTTTTATGTTGATTTTGATCCTTATTCTTTTGATTTTTTGGATCCTTTTACTAAATTAATTTTTCTTTGAATTTTATTCTTCAATCAAATAAAAAAAATATTTTTTTCAGTTTTGATACTCATTTTTTAATTATTATTTTTTAAATTTTTTTTATATAATTTTTTTTTCTAATTTCATCTTTCAATACTTGATTGAGAATTGAACTTTATAATTTTTTTTAAATTATATTTTAGGTCTAATGACCATAATCACGAGTTTTTAAAGTTAACAAGAACTTGATAAAATATCCTAAGTTGGCTTAACCTTGATTATCGAGGGTTACATGTTTGCTATGCTATTGAGTTGATCAAGACTGGTTTTTTTATGTTATTTTTTACCTTGTTCTTTCTTCCATATTTAATGAAACATGGATCCATCTATTATCATTTCCTTCTTCTTCTTTTTTGTCTAATTGATGCCAACTTATTAGTCCAAGTTAAATTTATGATCGAGTCATATATTTTTTTAAAAACACATTTGTGATATCTAAACATTATTTTTGGCTCAAAAAGGAAAAAAATTGGCTTTGCGTTCCTATTGCTAAACATTGACTAGAATAAGCCCTTGTTTGGTATAGCATTCCAAATAAGGGTTGGGCAATTTTTAAATTTATTTTGCTTAAAATTATTATTATTTTATATTTTTAGATCATTTTAATGTGCTAATATTAAAAATAATTTTTTAAATAAAAAATATTTTGATGTATTTCTAAACAAAAAACACTCTAAAAAATAATTATTACCACACTTCCAAACACCCTTTATAACAAATTTTCACGTATCAACATTGAATTAACTGTGCTATCTATTAGAATTTACCTATTTATTTGATTTCATTTTATTGTATGCTCAACGCCTTAACCCCTTTCATTAAAACTTTATTTTGTTATCCCATCCTTTCAACAGAAGGACTTGTTTATATTGATAAAGAGGAACCAGGCATTAATTGCTTTGCAATCTGAATTATCAAATGAATAGTTAATTCTTTAGGACACATACAAACTATATATATTAATTTATAGAATTTTTTAAGGGGTGTGACATGATTATAAATGATTTGAAATCTGTATAGCAGGTTTTGAGTTTGAATCAGAATATATATTTTTCATAAAAACCTGAGACAACCAGGATTTACCTTACTCATCTAAACCCACAACATGCACTTTTTAGGAGGTGGGTTTTCTCGAATAAAAATATATATTAATTTTTAGAAATTCCATTAACAATACATGGAAACCACAAGAACCTATCATATATCCACTCTTTAACATTCAAATCTTTTTTATATTTATTTATTTTTATAATTTCCTATTTTATTATTAAATTATGTTTAAGAATTGTATTTTATAATTTTTAATTTATTTTATTTCTATTAGGTTATATATTGGTTTTATGAATTTTTTTTATTTTAATTTTTAACATTAGATATATTGAAAATAAGACTTTAAAATAATTTTTTGATTTATTTTCTATAAATTTATCTTGATCTCATAATACAGGTCTCGAATTTAATAGGTTAACCTGAATTAACTTGGATTAATTTTTTTTTCTAATTGATTTTTTTATTTTATTATTTTCCATTAATTATTAGTTAGAAATTAGAATTTATAAGTTTTTTATAATTTTTTTAAAAGATTATTTCAACCTCATTATCAATTTTTTATTTCCAAGTGACTTCTCTTACTGCATCCATCACTTTCATGCCCATCCATTAATTCTTTTCTAGACCAACATTTAGTCAACTTTCTTACGGTAGGTTTTCTCTTTTTTTTCTTTTCCCTTTCATGTCTTGTGGGGTTGCCTCCCTGGACCATTAATTTGGTCTGATCATAATACACAGGAGGGTATAGCTGGAGGGAATGTTCAGATGTCAAATCTCTTTAGCCATGTATAATGATTGCAGTCTATTATCAACAGCTGCCTTCACATAATAGATTCCTGAAACTTATTGATTCTTTAATTATGGAGTCGATCATTCATCCAAAAAAGGCCATCTGTGGTTCTTTCTTTTCTCATCTGTCAGCAGCTGCTGCTGCTGCAGCTTTCTTCTTCTTTTTTAATGACAGATTCTTACACGTCACAGAGCTCTCATTATTAGCTAGAATAATGCAGATCGATCCGACTAGTGAAGGCTGTTCCCTATTATCAGATCAAGAATATCGTGATGAGAATTGATGTCAAGTAGAGGAGAAAAAAAAATTTGTGATGCCAAAGGCTTGAGAGAGAAAAGAAATAGGTGTATGAGAGATTTCAACACAAATAGAATTTGTGTTAACATACGAGTATTATTACAATACTATTTCCAACGTTAATTTTGAAAGAAATTACTGTAGCAACTAGAAGGTCTCCTCTCTGATTTACTTTTGTATTTTTTTTATAAGTTGAATTTCATTTAAAATTCAAATCAATACCCTTAAAAAAATCTCAAACACAATAATTCATTTAATCTTACAAAAATTAAATCCAATTTATAGAGCTGGTTGTAAGTAACTAGCCACTTATTAAAATCCTATCCATGACAAAAAGAAAGAGAGACTAATGAACTGTGTTTAAATATACCCAAATACAATAGTTAAAGGGTTTCTTTTATATAATTATAGAAACTCTCAAATCAGTCCCAAAGAGTCTTCTTAATTGGTCCTTGAACATTCAAGAATTCTCAATCATACCCTCTATCAAAATCCAAAACAAATTTTAAACCAAAGCTAAAGCTATCCTTTCAAATAAATAGCAATAA